ACTGATATTATCACATGTACAGTCAGTGTAGGAGTTGGACCAGATGACAAGGACTGGACTGACTGATATTATCACATGTACAGTCAGTGTGCAGAAGTTGGACCAGATGACAAGAACTGGACAGACTGATATTATCACACGTACAGTCAGTGTAGAAGTTGGACCAGATGACAAGGACTGGACAGACTGATATTATCACACGTACAGTCAGTGTAGAAGTTGGACCAGATGACAAGGACTGGACAGACTGATATTATCACATGTACAGTCAGTGTAGAAGTTGGACCAGATGACAAGGACTGGACTGACTGATATTATCACACGTACAGTCAATGTACAGTGCAAGTGTTGAACAGCGTAGTTTGACACACTATTCATCAAATCTAGTATTCATTCAGTTTTGGTCAGATGTATTCTACAATGACACTTTCTGGTCAAACCTAAGGTCTGCGTGATAGCATGGTATATAGTCATAATGCTGAGTGTCTATGCTGTGAATTTTGAAACATAAACTGCATTTGATATCTCGGCAAAATTTTGGGTTGAAAATATTTCCATGATTTTCAAGCATACTTTGTCAACTTCATAACATGGCGACAGTTATTATGCCGTGTGTAACAAGACGTGTTTGTATTGGTGTTCAATTCGACTACAGCTAGTCACATATTTGTATTTGATTATAATCAGGCTAATATTTATAAATTCAGTAAATTAATTACGGAAGTGTACGAAAATTTGTTCAAAGTTCTATTGTAACAACAGTACTGTAAAGAAGTATAAAGTGTACATAAAAGTGTATAGCGCATAATAAGTACCGGGTACTACAGAAAGTCTCAGTGACTATAAATTAAGATTCGGATCAGAATTAGCTGTCTCTTTATTACATCCCTAGACACAAGATGACTACTCCATATATTATATTTTGGTTAAGACCTGAATGATAGTATTGAGGATCAACTTGAAAAGAATGATAATTGCTATAAATACGAGTTGTTTCGTTGACTTATTATTTCGGGATTTGGTCACCGAGTTGTGAAAAGCCGAACAATTTCATCACGTTCAGATTAGAAAGTGTTGGACTAGACAGATTAGATGAGTCAGTATACAAAGTAATCAAGAAAACAAGATTCAATTTAATTATTTGGATACTACTCATGTTTCAACTCGGGCACAATGAATTAATAGAATGAATCACTCATGGACAGCCCAGGATACTGTCTGATCCACTCCCACTCACATTATCTGTTCTGTCAAACTGCCAATAATTACTGACCTAGGTAGCACGTATTATTAGTGTTCTTTAACTACGTGAATATGAATCACTTGCTACTACATAAGATGCGTTACTAATCCCACTTCACTCTGATTTGACAAAATAATTAGTTGATATTTCAGACAACCTTACTGGGTGGATATGTTTAAAGTGAGTATGAAACGCTCACTAATTCTCAGGGTGGAGCTACGTCACGGAACATTCTACGTTGCTTTACCAAAAATACTCCCACTTGTGATGATACATTTACGACATAACCTGAAAGTCCAAATAATGTTTTTAGTTGTTATTATTCTGTTCTTATCACTGTACTATGTGAATTAATAATGGATATCACCACAACAACATGTGTTGAATATAGTAAAACAGTGACAAATGATGTTGCAATCTAGACTATGTATGGATACCAAGATGCCACAAATTCATTTTTTGTCCTGTTTCATTAGAATGTACGAAGAAAAATTTTCAAAAGCTAGAAATAAACATCTGTGAAACTGCACATTCTTGAGTAGAAAAAATAGTAAACTCCCACCCTCTTTGTTCAGGTCAAGCGTCATGTACATGATTGTCTGGAAACTACACAACACAGAAAGACTGAGTGTTTTCAGTGCAAAAGTGGTGAGAGAGCAGACAGGATGGGAATGTTCTGTATGTAAACACACAAGGTGTAAACATGTGCACTAGACTGAAACCAAACACCATCACCGTACATAGCAATGAAGGAACACCATGAATGATCAGCGATGAATACAAAAGCCCCAAGAGGAAGTCAATTTTGAAATATGCAATACACCACCTGTCCAACTTACAGATGCGGAAATATTAGATTTAAACATTTATGTACAAATTTAATTGGTTACTTACCAACGTGAATAGGAGCGGGAAGTAATCCATGATCACACCGACTTGGTTCATGGTTTTCATTTCCATTTTTGGTGAGACCATTCTTCCTTCCTTTAGGTCTGCAATGTCCAAGAAACATGTAAATGTTAGGCTATTTGGCGCCATGCAAGATGCGAGCTTAAGTCGAAGATTTTACATCAGTAACTAGGATGCCTTTGAAGAACTTTCTGCAGGAACTTTAAAGTTTCCAACTGCCAATAGTTATTTTAGTTGTAACATACACAACAGCAAATTCAAATTTCAAATTCCTATCCTTATTTTTTTTTCACATAGTTATTTTACTTCTGCTACTTTCTGCAATAAGGATGCTTGAATTATTTAACATTCACGGAGGACTGGAAAAGTACACAGGACGTACATGTGGGGATAGCCACAAACTATTTAGGAACGTCTACGGTCAACTCAGAAAAATCACTCAGTCATGAGAATTAGTTAACCATTTGATAGTTTCATTCCGAACACACCATGAGATAACAAGATGGTGGCACAACCAGAAAAAGTGACAGATTGTAACAATAACAAATTTTGAGCAGTAAACTGTGATTGGCTGAAAGCTATACATTGTATCCAAATGTAACAATGCATAATTAAAATAATTCTACATAAACTAAAATATGCGTTCCAACGATATATATGTCTGGGTGCGACAATGTACTTTCGCATGATACATTGTACAACATGTTTAGTTTCATGTATATTAAGTAACGAGAAAATGCAATTATCATAGTTAAGTTCGGAGTTTTGTAATCGTTCATTGGTTCTCAGGACAAGACTGCAATTTTTCAAACCTAATACTGTGTGTTTGATGGTCTGGGCAGAATGTACACTAACTCAACTGCTGGGTGAGTAGTTGGCAGGGATCAAAGCCAAACGCTCCCGAATACAAGGAGAACAGGTTAACAAAAATGTACCACACCCATGTAAAAAATAGTAATCAGGAAAAGGAAAATACTACCCATCTTTGTTAACACATTACACAAACAAATTCATTGATACTGTACTGACAATTCTGCTGGGAATTTTTTTAAACAAACACCCATTCAAGAAATCCCTTGGTAACCGCAATGTCTTCCATCAAAAGATACCTTCAGGGCAGCGGTAAAAATGCTATGCTCAACAAACATGAAATAATTCAGTTCCATGGAGACTCATTCAATGATCATTGAACAAGAAATAAATGCAACATGCTGCATTGTTGACAAGTAATTATACAAGCTTTAAATCAATTTCTTAGTTTTCAATCAGCTTCAAAAATTATACAAAACAAGCCATTGATAGTGAAACAGCTCGGACATATTTTTAGGCGATGTAATTCAGTAAGCATAGCGGAATGACTTCAGATTTATTTATATTCATGTCACCACACACAAGTCCTGAATGTACAGACTAATTTATACAAATTGGCAAAATAGATCAGACATGAACAAGCATCTTGAGAAGTTCACAGAACCATATAGTTAAGCATCCAACTTCAATTGTACATTAGAAACCTACTCTGTGAAGTCATGGCAACTATTAATGAAGCATGAAACTATCTAGCCTGTGTAGGTAAAGATATAAATATTCCATGTTGCATGTTGTATTTGTTTGTTTCCACTTTCATGGGCCATATATTAAATACACATGGTTTATCTGATCTATTTTGAAAGAAATCAACCCATGCATCTCCTAGAAACACAAGTTCAATGCATTTTCAAGATGAAAAAGTTGACAGCATTCCACCAATTAGTTTTTCAGTAGAAGCAACACATATAATCCTTGTGTCGTGATTTCATATTAAAAAAACAAACAGGTTACTGCCGATTTTCATGACAAATTGTCCATTAGACAGCCACGTTTGATGAAATGTAAAAATGAACAAGTAAGCCACTGTGTGTTGTTATTACTTTCCTCCAAGTTCGAACAAAATCATATCATGCATATTACTGAGAAACAGATTAACTCATGTTCCTGTGTGTTTTTTAGGCTAAAAATCGTAATAAAACCTACAGTCTCATTGCAACACGTGATTTTATCTATTCAGTCATTGAAAACGCACAAATCGGTGTGCCCCTCTTCCATAACAAGGGGCCAATCAATCTACTTGGAGACTAAAGCTGTTTATCCCTTCCTGGACTTGCATACAATTATTTATTTGTGTTTTTTAAAATAAAATAAAATCTGGGACTGTATAATTGGCGAATGTCAGGTTACCGCGAAATAAACAAGAAATTTGTGCCTCTTGCAAAGGTTGCCTTGCTATGAATATTATTGAGCATTTCGATGACGTCACAAAGTTGATGGGCGGAGCATGCATTTCCATTCTTTCAAGATGGCTATGAGTAGCATTTGTATTGTATGACGAGTCAAAGACCGCATAACCCTAGAAGATTGGCCAGAAGACGCTTGCCTGTCAAGAAATTGAGTTGCCAGTCAATTTGGTAGACCAACGCTCACAAAACACACTCACAAACATCGTGATGAGAATTGTATGCATCAACGACTTCTTGGTGGTATTTTTGAAATGATGTATAACACAGTATCCTAGTAGTCTTGTAATGCCATCAAAAACAAGCAGCCTATCGACTGAGATAGCTCCGCTGTTAGCAATGCACATTTCAATTAAAGAACTGAAGATATCATTAGAAAATGAACAATGTGTATAGTATCAAAGCAATCAGACCTACAGTTTTTAACAATAAGTCAAAAAATATCACTTTCTACCAAAAATGACAAAAATATTCATCAAAATTAGAGAATTGAAGATATCATCACGAAATGAATAAATCTGAGAAAGGTCTACATGTAGTATTTATATATGTAATATCAAAGCAATTGAACTTTTGGTTTTTAACAAGAAGTCGAAAATATCACTTTTTACAAAAAATTACAAAAATATTCACCAAAATTAGAGAATTGAAGATATCATCACAAAATGAACAAACCTGAGAAAGATCTACATGTAGTATCTATATATGTAATATCAAAGCAATTGAACTATTGGTTTTTAACAAGAAGTCGAAAATATCACTTTTTACCAAAAATTAGAAAAATATTCACCAAAACTAGAAAATTAAAGATATCATCATGAAATGAACAAATCTAAGAGAGGTCTACCCAATATGATAAGCTCCGCTCGACAAAGTCGACAGCGGAGCTAAAAAAGCCCAACTTTTGCCATTTACACACATGTTTATTTTATTGAAAAAACACACAGAAAAAACCAAGAAATTGTGTGCAAGTCTAATCCCTTCCATCATTATAAATCTATTGCTGATTAGGCATTTATTTTCATGACATTTACACATAGATATTAAGACCATAGTTCAAAACTACATGCCTTGATACATGTTTAGGAAGGACTGATTCAAGCAGACACTTTCTTATCAAAATTGATATGCATATAC